GCAGCAGGTGCAGCAGATACTGCAGCAGCAAATGCAACAGCAACAGATGAAACAGCACCAGCAGCAGCAGGGTCGTTCTGTTTCCCCCCCGTCTGAGTTTCGTCGTCAGCACCGTCCCTCTTTGAAGCACAGCAACACGAGCAGCAACAGCAGCAGCAGCAGCAGCAGCAGCAGCAGCAGCAGCAGCAGCAGCAGCTCTCACCCTCATCGTTCAGTTACATTCAAAGACAAGGTGCTGGTGGCGGAGGTCCCCATAGAGAAAGACAGCCCCACGCCCATCCCCCTCACCGACCCCCTAGCAACCCCACCCCCAGTAACACACAGACACCAGCAGCAGCAGCAGCAGCAGCAGCAGCAGCAGCAGCTGCAGCAGCAGCAGCAGAAGCTGCAGCAGCAGGGAAGGCTGCAGAAGATCCCTTCAGGAGAAGTTAGAGGGACAGCAAGAGGTAACATAAAACACACATGTTTTGCTGCTGCTGCTGCTGCTGCTGCTGTTGCTGCTGCTGCTGCTGTTGCTGCTGCTGCTGCTGTCGCTGCTGCTGCTGCTTGTGTGTTTTTTTTTCTTCTGCTGCTTATGGAGTTGCCGTTGCTGCTGCATGCATGCGTTGCTGCTTGTTGCAGATGAGCAGCAACTTGCTGCAGCAGCAGCAGCAGCAGCAGCTGCTGCTGCTGCTGCCTCATGGGGGCTGAGGGGCCCCTGGGGGCCCCAGACAAGGTCTGTGCGCGTCGTAGCAACAGGGGGGCCCCCCATCATACAGTGGCTGCTGCAGCTGTTCAGCTGCTGCAGCCCGAGACCCTAAACCCTAAACCCTAAACCCTCTAAACCCTAAACCCTAAACCCTAAACCCTACATTCAAAGGTATCTATCTGTCCTAAACCCTAAACCCTCTAAACCCTAAACCCTCTAAACCCTAAAACCTGTAAACCCTAAACCCTCTAAACCCTAAACCCTCTAAGCCCTAAACCCTAAACCCTCTAAACCCTAAACCCTAAACCCTCTAGACCCTAAACCCTAAACACTAAACCCTGTAAACCCTAAACCCTAAACCCTCTAAACCCTAAACCCTAAGGGCAAGCCGCCCATTGGGGCGCGAAATTGCGGGGGGAGGAAAAACGAAACCAAAAAAAAATAAAAACATTAAAAAATAAAAACAAAGAGAAACTATTAATTATATATATATATATATATATATATATATATATATATATATATATATATATATATATATATTATATATATATCAATATATATATATATATATATATATATATATATATATATATATATATATATATATATATATATATATTTATTTATTTATTTATATATAGATGGATAGATATATAGATAGATAGATAGATAGATAGAGAGAAAACAAACAAACAAACAAAAAGAAAAAGAGAGAAAGATAACGGAGAAGAGACAAATAAACAAATAAAGAGACAAACAGAAGAAATATATAAATACATAAATAAATAAATAAATAAATAAAGACGGAGTAGACAAAAAAACACAGAGAGAGACAAACAAACAAATAAACAAACAAAAGCAAACACAAAAAAAACAGAAAAGAACAAACAAAAAAAAACATCCCCTCTCCTCCCCCTAAACCCTAAACCCTAAACCCTAAACTCTAAACCCTAAACCCTCTTAACCCAAACCCTCATAGACGAGCAAACGATAGCAAAAACTAACGGGGCCCCCTAGGGGGCCCCTTGGGGGCCCCCTAGGGGGTTGCTGAGTTGACCCTGGGGGCCCCCAAGGGTCTTGCATGCGTTTCTGTTTCTGTGGGGTGTGGGGTCGTATACGAGGGGCCCCTGGGGGCCCCTGGGGGCCCCCCAGGGGCCCCTCGTATACAGCTGAGGGGCCCCCTGGGGGCCCCCCGATTACAGCCG